GGGGGGGGGGGGGGGGGGTCGGTATTTTTGGTTAAGCCATCTGGCACCCCTATTCACCCCCAGCCATTTCTGCCCACATGGACGTGTTGCATTCTCAGAGCCCACTGCAGCCGGGGCATTCTGTAGCGAGGGTGTTATGCGCCCAGGGGCAAAGGCAATATTTGCACACACATCCCTGCTACTGCCGTGCAGCAGGGCCCCAAACCTGGCGCATGGCTGAACCCGACCCTGGGAGGAGGTGGAAAGGGAGAGATGGTACTGCATCTTCCCCCTCCAGTTTGGGACCGGGCGCAGAGGCAGGGAGGAGGTGGCTCCAGCCGGGGGTGGAGGAGGAGTAGGGGAGCCGAGGGATGACAGGAGGAGTGGAGGGGGACAAAATTGGTGCCCCCCTAGTGTGGTGCCTAGAGGCAACTGCCCCTCACTACCCTCCCCTCGCTACGCCACTGGAGGCACTCAGATGTTTGGGGGATAAAGGCCCTAGTTCGGGTTGGTCCTGCTTTGGGCAAGGGGTTGGACTTGATGACCTCCTGAGGCCTCTTCCAACCCTAAGATTGTATGATTCTACTCCGAGGCTCACCCAGGCCCGTATCCTAGGCAATGTGGCCTGAATAGATTTGAGAGAGGAGAATACAGAAAGTGCCATGTCTCTTTTAGCACACGTCATGGAAAGAGCTCCCTCCTCTTGGTGGAGGCCCGGAGCTGGCCATGCATGGTAGATACCACCCTGAAACATGCAGAACAGCAACCTCGATACTTCGTTTGATCAGTGACAGAACCGTGCAGAGCAGAGCTGGAGAAGAGCTAGATGCTCACCACATCCACTACTGCCCTATTCTCTCTACAGTACAAAATCTCAGAGGGGTCTCCGGGTTAGTTGGCAGCTTTAAAAACAAGGAACAGTCCTGTGGCCCCTTAGAGACTAACAAGTAGATGACATTGTGAGTTTTTGTGGCTAAAACACACTTCATCAGATGAATTGGAGTGGAAAATACAGAATTCAAGGTATATATATCACAGCAACTGCATTTACCTGTCAATTGCAGGACCTGTGCTAATTGGATGCGTGTGTCCCATTCATAGCTACTGATGTGAAAATGTGAATATCAAAGGTTGGGGAAACTGGCTTTGACTCTCTCTAGTCCAGTGTTAAATACTGTAAGCAATGGAGTTTCCACTACTTCTCTCAGCAGATTCTTCCACAGCCCAACAGACCTCACTCTTTCTCGTATCCCTTCTACATTTCACATTTCATTCCTTTTTGGCCCCTTGTCCAGTAACCTCGCCCTGCTTGGAGTTTACACTTTTGAAATATTTTGCAGGCCGTTAGCATGTAATATCAGCTCAGGTCCGGTGCTACTTTCCTTTCCGTGAATACGTTTGTCTTATCTGCCCTAAATGAAAGTGCAAATGTTCCCTCTGGAATTTTAACACAAAATGGAATAAGAAAAATACAGAGAAAAACTAGTTCATGTGTCTCTTTGCCTGGATTTATGACAGGAGCAAACAGTGAACGACGAGCCCTGATGTGACACTAAAAATGCTCCTCTCTTCTATATGGCTCCTTTCATCCCCAAGAACCCCCCAAATGTGTCAAAAGCGACATCCAAACTATCCTAGTGACAGTCTCCCTCAGTGAAATCTAGCCAGGACTTCCAAGCGCAGTTCCCTACTCGGACGTCGCTGTCTCCCAAGGCCTCCTCATCCCCCGCTCCTCTTCCCGAGGGGTTGGAAAAACACACAGCTCTGAAGCAAAGCAGCAGGAGCAAGCACAAGTCGCCAGTACTCACGATTATCATCTGGCAGACGTGACCTCTGCACAGTTCAGAATAGGAGGAGTAATGCATGTAGACCACCCAGCTGCCCACGAAGACGCCCAGCCAGGCAAGGAAAAGGTATTTCACTTTGATGCCAGGGAGGCGACTCTGAGGAAAAAACCAGGAAAAGGCCATTACATACAAGTTAATGCTCGCAAATGGCAGCAGCTCTGCTGTGACTTAGGGTACGTCTACACTGCAAGCTCCTTTCAGAATACACTGTTCCAGAAGAGATCTTATTTCGAAATAGAGCGTTCACATTACAGGGAAGTCTTCGAATTAGTCCAAGGCAGGCTCCCCTAATGTAGATGCGCTACCTTGATTGACAGCCCCAGGAGGCACTGGGGAGGAATAACTTGAAAACAGCCCTGGGGAGGAGGTATTTCGACATAGCAACAGTGGCGCGTCCACACCCCCGCTCTTTCAAACAAGCTTTTTCGGAAGAGGCGTTATTCCTCATGGAATGAGGTTTACCAACGTTGGGAAAAGCCCTCCGTCATGTCGATTTTCTTTTGAAATAACGCAGTTGCTGTGTGGACGCTAGTACTGCTTTCCCGGAATAGCGGCCATTATTCCGAAAAAACGGTGCCATGTAGACACGCCCTTATTCCATTCCAAGTGGCCTCGCACTATTACCTTGTCCACCCTCCCATCCCCGGTGGTTGTATTCAGCAGTTGCTCTGCTGTGTTTTGATTGTAAGCTCTCTGGGGCAGGGACAGACGGTTGTTGTTTGCCGTGCAGCAGTGTACGCGTCGACGTTTGTACAGCACCCAGCACCATGCGTAACCCCAGGCTGGCACCTCTGCACACGACTGCCATGCAAATAACAAACAAGAGGCAAGTATAGCAAAGAGGATTTGGGTCCCATGGGAGCAGAATGACTCTCCTTCCTCTAGGGAACAGATAAAATAAGCCGGTAGCGGAAGGAGTCTCTCTCTGCAGAGAGAAGCAATATTAAGGGTTTGGCTGCCCACTAGGGGACATATCAATTTGTATAGCACAAGGTACAATGAGGGCTTGGATCCCCCATAGACCAGTTCGGCCAGATCCTTCGCTGGTGGCACTTGGCCACTGAAGTCAGTGGAGTGCTTCTAAATTAGACTAGTTGACGCCAACTGGGGATTGGCCACATGGGGGTGAAAGGAAGGATCACGAGAAAAATGCAGAAGTCATTCCCGTTTTTCACTGCTGCAGTTGCCCTGAATGTAACGCACGCTGGGCAGAACAGAAGGATCTATTTATAACTCGGTTTATTGACCTGCAGTGTGTGTTTCAATGCCCACCTACTGCTGCAGGCTCTTCCTGGAGGGAATGAGCCAGAGGGGCCTGCATGGTTTTAAGAAATGGTGAGAAATTCCCCGGACGTTGGGAGTCACTTTGTAGCTGTTCACTTGGCTCTTTCGTTAGCGGGTTTCCGGCTGAGCCTGAGAGCAGTCAGCAAACATTTTGTATCAACCCATCGATTTCTCTCTTACTGGTGTATCTAGGTTCTGTCTGGGTCTTCAGCAAAAATAATAAACACACCGATCCAGTTCATCAGAGAGTCACATTGGTGTGAATCTGATCCCCCCAGTTCTAGTGAAATAATTAACCAAAATCGGCAACTGCTTCCACTTATGTAAAGCTGGATCTGAATGGACCCAATAGATTTATACCAGTCCGCATCATCTGAGGATCTGGCCCGTTACGTTTTCCAACGCCGCTAATGAATTCTAAACATCGGGCCGATGCCACCTTCCTAATCAAGCTGCGTGAACGCCACACGGGAATCTGATCGGCTGCAGTCAACAAGGGAGAAACCTCCCCTTCTCCATGTCAGTGTGGTGGTGTTCATTATTTCAATTCAATCAGAGCTCATTTGCAGACAAGGATAAAAGTGTCTAGGTTTGACTGCGCATCTTGATGCATTGTATGCTAATTGCAAATACCGAGGTGTGAATCAACCCACAAAGCCCTGGGTTAGCAGGCCTGCTTTCAACATCACAAAGTTCCCCGCTAATGAATGTCTGTAAAAGGGTGGACTCTAATTACCACGAAGAGTTGTCAAACACAAGAGATTTGTGGCTATTCCGATTGGAGTGTGGTTGAGTCTGTGATTTCAGATCTAAAACCAGCTGTACTCAATAATGGCTCACACTTATCATTAGCAAATGGGGCTTTCTAGTGGCAGTTTAATACTCCTGCCGAGGCTGCTTCTGTTGGATCTAGAGGGGGCCTGATGTGGGACTGTCAAGTGAGACTGAGGGGCGTAGACTAGAAATCAGATCAGTGAGCACGGTTCTCCTATTTGTTTTCTGTTCCACCTCTTGGGACCTGAATGTAATGATGCTTTGCTTGGGTCCCCAACAACACTGAACCCAGAGTATCTAATGCTACCGGCATGCTTGGAATCAGTAACAGACTCGTAGGCCTTTTACGTGCTGTGACCACTAGAGGGGGACAAACCACACTGGGCCACGGCATTTCAGAAGCATCAGGCTGCGAGAGGAATTTTGCTCAATGTAGGATAGCACCTGTAAGCCCAAACAACTGCAAGGCCACATGCTGTGTGACTAGGGCTCTTTGGAAGGCCTAAACATATTTATTGTCCAAGTTAATCGGGCTATCGGTCTGCCTGTAGGTCAATGTCCTGATGTCAAATTGGCCCACGAGAACTGATGGAGGGATTTTCATGAGGATTATCTCTGATGGTCGGAAAGCTTCACCAGGTGCTTTGGATGGCTCCGAAGGAACAAGACAAAACATATTTTACATTTAAGAAAAGGGAGGAAATGAAGAAGAGTCAGGAAGGATAACGAGAACAATGAAGAGAGTGGAGTTTGCCAGAGTCTTGGCTGATGAAGAGAGAAATCTGGACAGGAAATATACAAAGCAAGCAGAAAGGCCGGGAGAAATATGCCCCTCCTTGCACTTTTCAAACTCCTACTCACGTCCTTTACTGGGAAATGTAATGGACCCCCCCCCCCCCCCCCCCCCGCGGTTGTTAAAAGAGAAATAGCTCCTAAATTATCCATTAGAAGGGGGACCCACAGAACCTAGCAAGAAATCAAGAGCCAACAATGTGTAGTGGAAAAAGCAGCCCTCTTTCTGCAAGAACAAAAGACAGGACTATGCAGCACTTTAAAGACTAACACGATGGTTTATTAGGTGAGGAGCTTTCGTGGGCCAGACTCACTTCCTCAGATCAATACGTGGAAGAAAATTGGCACGACCATATATACCAAAAGTGATACAATCAAAAAAAAGTGAATACATATAAAATTGACGAATCAGATTTAAGAACAGAGGAGGGGTGAGGGGGGAAGGTTAGTGTCTGAGGTAATGACATTAGGGGTGATAATTGGGGAAGCTATCTTTGTAATGGGTGAGATAATTAGCATCTTTGTTAAGACCCGTACGCAAAGTGTCAAATTTAAGCATGAATGACAGTTCGGAGGCTTCTCTTTGAAGTCTGGAGTTAAAATCTCTTTGAAGCAATATGCATGTTTTAAGGTCATTGAGAGACTGGTCAGTCTGGTTAAAATGGCAAGCAACAGTTTTCTGTCTGTGAGAGAGCCTGATGTCTGTTTTATGTGCATTGATTCTTTGGCGAAGTGTCTGAGAAATCTGTCCAATATTCATAGCAGACGGACACGTCAGGCACATGATGGCATAAATTATATTTCTGGATGAACAGGAAATTATTTATGTCCCCTCAGACACAGGAGGGGAGGAAAGAAGGGGAGGGGAGCGGGGCCAAGCAGCAGGATGACGGAGACCAGCCATCCCTGCCCCCTGCAGCTTCCTCCCTCCCCCGGCGGCTGCGCTAGGCGACGACTGAAGTTCATGGGGCGCCAGATGCGGCTGCCGCCGCCCTGAGCAGCGGGGTCCCGGCAGCGGGCAGGGGGCTGCAAGCCGGTATGGGGGGACCATGCTCCACACATGCCCAGCCCGGCCTGGGCATGAAGCAGCCGAGCATCTGTGGAGCGGCAGCCGGCGGGGAGAGGCGACCGGGCCGGGGCTGGCACGGAGGCAGGGGCAGCGCGCTCCGCTAGCCACTGCCAGTGTCCTAGGGAGTGTTATGGTGGCCAGCCCGGCCGGGAGGCGGGCGAGCGCTGAGCCCCGCCGCGTGCGAGCTGAGCCTGCGGGAGGACCAGGTGCGCCCCGCACCTAACCCACCCCGATGGCGAACGCCAGCGAGCTCAGCAGCAGGCAGGGGCGGGCTGCTGCGCTCCACGGTCTGAGTCGCCTGCCACCGTCCCCGCTCGCACTGCTGCTGCGCCGCTTGTTGTTGTAGATTTCACTCCCTCCCCCCACCTATCCCCTTCCCTCCGGCCTCTTGTCTAATCAGCTCCGGGAGAGCTCGGGAGACCCTCCTCCTCCTCCGCGAGGAGCTTGGACCCTGGACCCAGCGCTCTGCCTCGCTCCTGCTCCCAGGTGTTTGCCCGGGGCTCCCAGCCAGCTGTGCTACCGCGCCGGCCCCTCAGCACTGCCGCAGCCCCCCCGGGAACCGCTGGCTGCAGAGTCCCTCGTGGCAGCTGCAGGGGAAGTCGGGGGGCCCGGGCCACTTTCACCCCTCCCCAGGGCGCTCCGACATTTCCACGCGTGCTGTGGGGAGGGGCCACGAGGTTTTGGCGGGGAGAGGGAAAGGAGACGGAGTTGGGTCAGTAGGGGGGAGGTGGGAGAGGGGAGCAGACTGGGTCTGGTCAGGAGCAGGGGGGATCGGGTTTGGCTGGGAGGGAAGAGGGTGCAGGGTGGATCAGGTGGGGCAGAGAATCGGGGTGGACTGGGTCCAGTCACTGAGGGGTCAGGTTTGCCTGGGAGGGGAGAGAAGGTGGCAACTGGGTTCCGTGAGTGCGTGGGGGGGTCGGGATGTGTATGGAGGGGAGACAGGACGTAGGCTGGGTTTGGCCAGAGGGCGTGGTAGGAGTCAAAGAGCTGCAAGGTGAAAGGGGCACTTTCCTCCTCAGTGCCTGTCCTGCCGCAGTGGGCTGGGGGGCGGCCAAAAAATGTTTTGCTTGGGGCGGCAAAAAACCTAGAGCTGGCCCTGGTGCGAGAGCCTTTCCTACATAAGAATGACAAGAGAGGCCACGAAAATGTGAAGCCTTCTTTAGTTTACATCTGGCCTCCATCTGTGAAGCAAGCCAGCCAGTCGTTCCAGAAGATGACA